CGCTGCGGACGAGAATCATGCGCTCCCTGAGGCGGGGAGGCAGTTGTGCGCATGCGCGCCCTGCTGAAGGGCGGAGATGGGTGCATCGGCCCTGCGAGAAGGGGAGGAAGTTGTGCGCATGCGTACCGTGCTGCAGCGAGGTAAGTGTGTGCATGCGCGTCCTAGTGAAGGGAGGCAGATGTGTGCCTGCGCCCCCTAAGGAGGGGTGGCAGCTGGGTGCGTGCGCGCCCTGTTCCCAGTTGGTTGACATGGTTCATCACTGTGTTTAAATCCCAAGCTCAGCTACAAAGAAATAAATAAATCCCAATCTCAGCTCTCATTGAATTTTTCTGACTTCAGTATCCAACCATTGATGCTCATTGTTCTTTTCTCCTTGTGAGAACTATTCAATACCCAAGAACCCGGACCCAGTATGAAAGTCGCCCCCCAGCCAGCTGCAGAGACTTGAGCTCTTTAAATCAGCAGCTCCCCTGAGCCTTTAAACTGTATGAATTACATAATGTAGTAACACCTTTAATACAAGGTGGTCAAGACCTCCGTTTGACATCTCATCTGGAAATGGGCTTCTCAACCAGCATGCAAGTACGGTGGTTTAATAAAAAAACAGAAGAATTTTGCCTAAGGAACGTTTCAATCTTTTTTCCTCAAAGTATAACCATTTTTCTCATAGGCTTTCTATCAACGTGTTAAACAAGCCTGTGTGGCAGATCTGACCGAGAAGTTTTGACTGCAAACCCTTGATTGATAACAAAGAAAATACATTCTTCCTTTACACAGATCAAAGCTATGGCATTACTTGATTGATTCTTTTTATGACACATCAGAAACTTGAATGCACTTGTAAAAAAATGTATTAAGGACCGGTTTTGAGTCAAGTTATTATGTAGAATTCATACAAAAAAGATCGCAAACGCACATATGAACGTGGATTCTGATATTTATAAGCCACTCTTAAACAGTGAAAGCTTCAAACAGGGTTTTCTTTCTTATCCACAGGTAGCATTCATGTTCTTTGCTTTAGGTTTCTTCATAAATCCTGTTGCCCAATCTAAAGACAAAGCATGAAGATTAATATTATGAAAACAAAAATGGGAGAGATTATACCCTTGGGTGAATCTGTGATAGCCATTAGATCAACACCGATGTAAAGAAAATTGGCTGTATCAGAAATCGGCCTGATGTGGCTGATAATTTGGCCGATAAATGCCCGTGCATGCATGCAGCCTCAGCACAACACTTAGGTGGTGAGGAGCACAGCCTGGCAGCATGGAGAGCTGGGTGCAGCTAGTAAGTTTGTTGTGGTGGGAGGGGAGGGGGGAGGGAAGTGGAGGGGCGGGGATCAACACCACCCATGGTGAGGAAGGGAGTGGGGCTGGGGCAGCCCATTCGGGGCAGGGTGGGGAGAGAGAAGGGGGCTCCCGCCGCTGTGTGCATCCACAGAGGACACGGTGGAGGGGGGGCGTGTGCCCCCGGATCTGCACAGGGTGGGGTGGGCTACAGCTGCGGGCTGGGGCTGCACCGGGCTCTTCCTGGCGTGTGGGGGGCCAGGGTTGGGCCAGGGCTGTGCGTGGGGTGGCTGGCAGCAGTGCTGGGGAGAGAGGGGCCATGGAGGGACTATGGCAAATTTTGGGGTGGCTGCAGCCCCCCACCTGTAGCCCCCAAACAGCACCACCGCTTCCTGCCCTGAGTGCAGCCTGGTCCAACCCCTGCTGGAATGAGCTTGGTGCAGCCCTGACCCCCGAGCTTGGTGCATGCCTCATGCAGATCAAGGGGACATACACCCCCCTGTGCCCTCCTGGGGTGTGCACAGCAGCAGGAGCCACCCCCACTCCTCCTCGTGCCCCCTGGACAAGCTGTGGCTCTGTCCCCTGCCCTGCCCCAGCTGGGCAGTGCTTGCCCCAGCCCCAGTCCCACTCCTTCCTCACCACAGGGGTTTTGATCTGCCCCCACCACACCTCTTCCCTCCCATCTCCCCTTCCACCACAACAGACTTACCAGCTGCATTCAGCTTTTCAAGCTGCCAGGCTGGTATCGGAAATCAGATCGGTATCAGCCAACATGCCTCCTTAAAAATCGGCCATCAGTATCGGCCCCCAAAATCTCTATTGGTGCACCCCTAATGGCTGCAAACCTCAAAATCAGTGTTGTTGAAGCATTTCTCCAAATACTTAATGTCAGATGACTTTTAATTATCTACTCAAAAATAGAATAAACTTTGTCCAGAAAACTATTCAAAGCCTTCAGATCCTTCCAAACATGAAAGAATTGAACATACATAGAGAAAACTCCATCCCACTGAGTAAGATTTCAGAGGGGGATACATTGCACTTATAATTGATTAAATCCACTGTTGATGATTTAATTTAATAACTGCATGATATGGGAGCTGCTCTTTTATACTTATGTTACTATCTTCCTTAATTCTTGAGTTACCAAATCCATCACATTTCTCAAGGGATAACCAGATCATAAGATTTTGTTCTGTACCAGCTTCATCATGACTGTATGTGATAGAAGTCAATGGGCAAAACTTTATTCTTGAAAATTGACTCATTAATTGCCTAAGGATCTAGCAGAGATGTAACTGGTGAAGTCATGACAAATCCCTTCAAATCTTCCTTTAAACTATTGCATTCTATTTGCACAGTTAAATTACTTTTAGCCAAGACTAATATTTTTGGATATCCAACTTGAACATCTTTAGAGGGTCAGACTTTAGAAAGTGCTAAATTTTTTTTTTTACTCACTGTAAAAATAAAAACTATTTTAGAGGTCTCAAATAGGCATCCAAAGCCACCAAACAATTTTTGAAATCTTAGTCCAGGAAAAATCAAATTTATCCATCAATTTATAACAGTAACATGACAGACAGAAAAATCAGATAAGAAAGGCTGAGCCTAGCCAGTTAGCATCACAAAGCATGCTAAAGTCTTACAACAAGGACATTACAGTGGTAGCCTAAATGATAGGAAAAAGCCCAAAACATAGTTTCATAGTTTCATAGTAGGTAGGGTCGGAAGGGACCTGAGCAGATCATCAAGTCCGACCCCTGCCATGGCAGGAAAAAGTACTGGGGTCAAATGACCCCAGCAAGGTGTTTGTCTAACCTCCTCTTAAAGACCGCCAGGGTAGGAGCCAGCACCACTTCTCTTGAAAGTTGGTTCCAGCTCCTAGCCTCCCTGACTGTGAAGTAGCGCTTCCTGATGTCTAGTCTGAGACTATATGATACCATCTTATAATTATGCCAACTCATATCTGAGGATTTTAGAGTGTTTTACCACCACCCCTAATCTCATAACCCCCAGGGCACAGAAGACAGCTGCTAAACCTACATATTACAGCTAACCACTGGTAAACTTAAGCCTATGGGGTACCAAGAGGCCTCAATTCTAACTGGTATCTTCAGCAAGGGTCAGTGGCACCCTACAATTCACCAAACACAATTCATAGCAAACACCTTGTACAGACACTCAAAATATTATCAAAGATAGCAAACAATGACAGAATACCAGACAAGCTTGCTGGACAACAGAGATAAGGATGCTAAAATATTCTGAAGCATCTATTTTTCTTTCCTTTAACAAGGAAAAAAGATGGAAATAACTTGAATGTCTTCTTCCTCACTCACAGATGAAAACAAAAAATGCATCCTCACACAAAAAGACAAGGATCTGTTTGTGAGTGTGATGAAATGATCAGCAAAGCTAACCGCACTTTATTGTACATCAGATGCATGACAAATAGATTCAAGGAGGTGATACTTCCCCTCTATGCGGCATTGGTCAGACTGCAGTTGGAGCACTGCGTCCACTTCTGGGTGCCGTACTTCAAGAAGGATGTTGATAGACTTGAGAGGGTCCGGAGGAGGGCCACTCATATGGTTAAGGGCTTACAGGACAAGCCCTATGAGGAGAGACTGTGGGACCTGGATCTCTTCAGCCTCTGCAAGAGAAGGCTGAGAGGTGATCTTGTGGCTGCCTACAGATGTATTGGGAGGATGCAGCAAGGGCTTGGAGGTGCTTTGTTGGGGTAACAAGGAACAATAGTCACAAACTCACAGAGAGCAGATTTAGACTAGATATCAGGAAAAACTTCTTCATGGTGAGGGTGGCCAAAATTTGGAACGGGCTTCCAAGGGAGGTGGTGCTCTCCCCTACCTTGCGGGTATTGAAGAGCAGGCTGGAGAGGCATCTGGCCGGGGTCATCTGACCCCAGCGCTCTTTCCTGCCTAGGCAGGGGATCGGACTCGATTCTTGAGAACTTACATCTAAATCCCCAAGCAGAGTTTAAAAATATACTTTAAAGTTACTCCACTGCACAGCACTTCAAAAGATATATGGTAATTGGCAGTACATAATGGGGACAAATCTGCCTTCCAGTTACAGAAGGTGTCAAACAAATGTTTGGGATATGCACATATTTAATTAGAGAAGTATTTAAAAAACAATCCAAGGTATTTTCTTCTATTAAACTGTACACGTAGCATTTGATAGCTAGACACCATAGAGAGCTTAACCAGCATGTTTTACATTCAGTGGATCCATTTACTATTTTTTTTAAAAACTCTCCAATTCCTTATCCTTGTTTTTCTCAGCACTCGGTTTGACATGCAGTAAGCCAGATTTTTCAGAAGTATTAAACACCGTACTTTCCTGTTGATCTCTAGTGAATAGTGCACATTCACCACTCCCTAAAATCAGACACTGAGGGCACGTCTACACATGACGCTACATCTCTGTAGCAACACGCTACGGCGACGCAGCATCCACGGGTGTCTACACGTGATCAACACTATGTTGCCATAGCGACACTCTTCCCCGTTATAGAGTGCTGCTACAGCAAAGTGGCTGCTAAAAATAAGTGTGCCACACATACGGCACAGTACGGGTTGTTACTGCGCCATGATTTAGTACTTCTAAAAAGAGTAAATTTGGAAGTACTTTTGAAAGTACTAAATCACAGTGCAGTAACAGCATCAGCATAGTGACACATGTAGATGAGCCTTGGGTGACTCATAAAGGACATCTAAGATCAAAAAACAATCACAAAAAAGCCTAAAGTAACAAAAATTTAAAGGCTACTTTTCAAACTTTTGGCTCAAAGGTGCTAGGAGATTTGAACTGGGTCCTTTTCAAATTGCATTTAGAATTATTGTCAGGTGAGCTAAAAGGAATCTCTTTCTACTAGCAGGATGAAATAGGATTTGTGTTAACACCATATCACATAGGGGGTGTTCTTGCATATCTAAGGTTCCCATCATCGCCTGCGTGCCACTTTTAACTGACAAGCTGAACGGTCAGCCCATGCAACTAAAACATGACTTTCATTGTCAATTTAGTGTGTGACTGCTATGATGAAGCCAACAAGTTTGGTTTTACTTTTTCTTTCACACACTTCAATGCTCATGGCTCGTTAAGGGTCAACATCACTAGACACTAAAATCCTGTAACAATCAACACAAGTATTGCAAGCTTCCTGGCTATGCCATGGCCAATATGCTTCATAGAATCATAGAATCAAAGAAAGTTAGGGTTGGACGGGACCTCAGGAAATCATCTAGTCCAGCTCCCTGCTCAAAGCACGACCATCCCCAACTAGATCATCCCAGCCAAAGCTTTGTCTGGCCAGGTTTTGGAAACCTCCAAGGATGGAGCTTCCACCACCTCTCTGGGTAACCACTGCAGTGTTTTACTACCCTCCTAGTGAGAAAATTCTTCCTAATATCTAACCTAAACTTCCCTTCCTGGAATTTGAGACCATTGCTCCTTGTTCTGTCATCTGCTACCACTGACAACAGTCTAGCTCCATCCTCTTTCGAACCACACTTCAGGTATTAAATACCTTCTCAGTCTCCTCTTCTCTAGACTAAATAAGCCCAATTCCCTTAGTCTTTCCTCATAAGTCAAGACCCTCCAGTCCCCTCACCATTTTTGTTGCCCTCCACTGGACTCTCTCCAGTTTGTCCATATCTTTTCCATAGTGTAGTGGGGGGCCCAAAACTGAACTCGCACGTATTCCAGATGTGGCCTCACCAGTGCTGAATAGAGGAGAAGAATCACTTCCCTTGACTTACTGGCATCACACCTACCAATGCAGCCCAATGTACTGTTAGCTTTCTTTGCTGCAAGGGCACGCTGCTGACTCCTATTCAGCTTACTGTCTACTGTAACCCCCAGGTCCTTTTCTGCAAAGCTGTTGCCCAGCCAGTCAGCCCCCAGCCTGTACTGGTTCATGGGCTTGTTCCGTCCATAGTGAAGGACTTTGCACTTGTCCCTGTTGAACCTCATGACATTTCTTTTAGCCTAATCCTCCAGTTTGTCTAGGTCATGCTGAATCCTAGCCCTACCCTCCCATGTATCTACTACTCCCCCCTGCTTGGTATCATCTGCAAACTTCCTGTGGGTGTACTCTATGTCATCTTCTAGGTCATTGATGAAGATATTGAACAATATTGGCCCCGGGACCAAGCCCTGGTGCACTCCACTTTATACCAACTGTCAATTAGACTTTGAGCCATTGATTACTACTCTCTGAGCCTGGTGTTCCAGCCAGTTTTCTGTCCATCTTACAGTCCATTCATGCAGCCTGTACTTCCTTAGCCCGTCTGCAAGAATGATGTGGGAGACCGTATCAAAAGCCTTACTAAAATCAAGGTACACCACATCCTCTGGTCTCCCCGCATCCACAGAGACAGTAATCTCATCACAGAAGGCAATCAGGTTGGTTAGGCATGACTTGCCCCTGGTGAATCCATGCTGACTGTTCCTAATCACCTTCTCTTCCAAGTGCTTAGAAATGGATTCCTTGAGGACCTGCTCCATGATTTTTCCAGGGACTGAGGTGGGGCTGACTGGTCTGTACTTCCCTGGATCCTCCTTCTTCCCTTTGTTAAACACAGGCACTATGTTTGCCCTTGCCCAATCATCCAGGACCTCTCCTGATAGCCATGAGTTTTCAAAGCTTATGGCCAGCGGCTCCGCAATCTCATCAGCTAACTCCCTCAGCATCCTCAGGTGCATCCCATCCAGCCCCATCAACTTGTATATGTCCAGATTTTCTAAATAGTCCCTAACCTGTTTTTTCACCACTGTTGGCTGCTCACCTTGTCCCCAAACTGGGCTGCCCAGTGCAGTAGTCTGCGAGCTGACCTTGCCCGTGAAGACAGAGGTGAAAAAGGTATTAAGCCCTTCAGCCTTTTCTGCATTCTCTATCACAAGGTTGCCTTCCCCACTCAGTAAGGGACCCACATTTTCCCTGATCCTCCTCTTGCTACCAACATACAAGTAGAAACCCTTCCTGTTACCCTTCACATCCCTTGCTAGCTGCAACTTCAATTCCACCTCGCCCTTCCTGACTTCATCCCTGCATGCCCAAGCAGTACTCTTATATTCTTCCCCAGTTATTCAAGTTTCCACTTCTTATAAGCTTCCTTTTTTGTCATTTAGTTTACTAAAGAGTTCCCTGCTAAGCCAAGCTAGTCTTTTGCCATACTTGCTTGTCTTCCCATGCATCAGGATGGTTTGTTTCTGCACTCTCAGTAATGCTTCTTTAAAGTACAGCCATCTCTCCTGGACTCCTCTCCCCTTCTGTCTGGCTGCCCATGAGTTCCATGAGCAAATCGAAGTCTGCTTTTCTGAAGTCCAGGGTCTTTACTCCACTGCTCTCCATCCTTCCTTTCCTCAGGATCCTGAATTCAATCATCTCATGGTCACTGCTGCCCAAGTTGCCATCCGCTACCATATACCCCACTAATTCATCCCTGCTTGTGGGTAGCAGGTCAAGAAGCCCACAGCCCCTAGTTGGCCACTCCAGCACTTGCACCAGGAAGTTGTCCCCAACACTCTAAAAACTTCCTGAATTGTCTGGGCACTGCTGTATTGCCCTCCCAGATGTCAGGGTGATTGAAGTCCCCCCATGAGAACCAGGGCCGATGATCAGGAAACTTCCACTAGCTGTTTGAAGCAAGCCTCATCCACCACTTTCTCCTGGTCTGGTGGTCTATAGCAGATACCCACCACAACATCACCCTTGTTGCTCTCTCCTCTGACCCTAACCCAGAGACTCTCAACAGGACTATCTCCAGCTTCATATTGGAGCTCTGAGCAATCACATGGCTCTTTTACATAAAACGCAACTCCTCCTCTTCTTCTCCCCTGCCTGTCCTTCCTAAAGTTTGTACCCATCCATGACAGTGCTCTAGTCATGCAAGCTCCCACCATGTCTCTGTTATTTCAATCACATCATAGTGCTGTGACTGTGCAACGACTTCCAGTTCTTCCTGCTTGCTTCCCAGGCTCCATGCATTCGTGTACAGGCACCTGAGGTAACTAGTTGATTGCCCTGATTTTTCAGGAAGTATAAGAGCACGTCCCCTGATGTCCCCTCTCCTGCTTGCTCTTCCTCCAGGTCTCTTGCTTCCCCACTTACCTCAGGGCTTCAGTCTCATTCTAGATGGACAGCTGCTTAGGTCTGGTTGGAGAAGGTTCATGTTGTAGACCTGTGTAGGTACATATTTACTTTTCCATACCAAATACTTCTTTGGCTCCTTTGCTCAGCTTGTCAGTCATAGCAATATACAGATGGCAGATAGCTCTATCCATCTTTCTTCACATATGATCACACCATTACAACTGTGTAGCCATACTAGGGTGCACCGATAAAGATTTTTTGGTCAATACTGATGGCTAATTATTAACCAGCCATACCAGCTGATCTGATTACCAGTAGGCAGCCTGGAAGCTTGGAGAGCAGCATCTGGCTGATAAGTCTGTGTGGGGGAAGGGGCACGGGTGAGATGTGACAGATGTTAATCATGTTACCTGAAAAGTGCTCAGATACTATGGTGGTGATTTAGGTATAAGAAGATTGGTATGACAGAACAATAGTGCAAATGATTATCAGTTAGCATTGAAACAGCCACCTTCTCCTAAAATCTGAGCTGAGACAATCATGCTAATTTTACATAGGTTATGCAATAGCAGTAAATTCTGAACAATCCTTAATAAGATCCTTTTCCCTAACATATACACAAAAAACGGCAATGTTCTGTAAAACCAGCTTTATTAGCGTAGGAAAAAAAGTGTAGAAAAATAAAAGGCTCCTGTAAACACAAGGTCAAACAAACTAACATTTTCTACTGAAACTACAGTCACCCATAGAACTCAAATGCTCATAATGACAAAATCACTAAATACATATCCAACAAGGCGGCCCTGAAAAAGTAAACATAACTGCACATTAGGTAAACTGAACTTTTGGTCATCTCAAGAATAACCTATATATGTTCACTAGGCAGCAAAATTATTTTTATAAATAATCTGTTCATAACCCTTTCAGAGAATGTATACATGCATCTCTCTCTCTGAAGTATAGCTTAAATCACAAAAGCAGTAGAAATCTTTTCTTAATATTAAGAAAGTAGTGTGCTAGCTCCAGATTGGTAAAAAAAAAACAACCCAAGACTGCTTAAGAATATTATTACAGTAAAACATGCTTGTAATAAAAAATATTTCCTTTTAAAATTGATATAGCCAGTGAGGTTAAACTTTTAAACACAGTGCTTATAAAATAAAAAGGTACAGTTTTCAGACATAGTTATGTATGTATTAGAGACTTGTTAAGTTAAGGGAAGCTACTTCTTAACACTGATGTCATTAGGTTTGGATTTGTGGTATTTCTGACCAATACCGTAAGGTACGTGCGCCGCTATAGTACCCAGCTGTTGTGCTCCTTCAATGTGAAACATCTGGTCATCAAAGAAAATATGAGGCCGGATCTTCACCAAGACTGGTCCTTTAGGAGCTCCTGCAAGGAAAAGTGCCTCATCAATCTCCAAGCCCCAGCTACGGAGAGTCTTCAGCACTCTGGCTCCAGAACTTGCTGCACTTCTGGCTGTGACAAGGTAGGTCCTTACAGGACAATCTAGTCGTTCATTTTTTGCATAGAATTTCTTTTGGAGCTTCCCTAAGTCTTCCAGAAAACCTTTCAAAGGACCCTAGGATTAAAACATTAGAAACATGTTTAATATGTGTACAATTGTACAAATATCTTGTTCTTTCTTCCAGACCCTCTACACACAGCACACCTCTCCCAAGCCCTAAGGCGACTGCCATTTCCACGTTGAAATCCCTTCTCAAAACATGCTTACAAAAAATGAGCAAATGATGGTTAATTCTGATACCTCACCCAAAAGTATATTTGTATATAATATTTCATGCATATTTCATTGTGTCCCTCTTACTGAGATGTTGCCTGTGATATTGTGATGCCCTGTTCCTGACTTGGACCCATGAGCCTGAATAGAACATACATATATAACTATTATTCCTGATTCTGTTCTCACAGAGACATTTGTTTAGGTTTACATATGTTGACATCAATGAAGTTCTTCCAGCTTTAGATTCCTCCTGAAATTAACATCAGGATCAAACCCAAATTTAAAAGAAAGAATGATTAGGGTAAAAAATCCAAGGTATTAAACACCTGCAATTTCTGTTGTTTTCAAGGATGGAGCCTTATTTTAGATATACAACAGTGGAAATAAGAGCAGAGATGATCTTTTTAGATTTAAATTGCTGTTAAGATTCGAACTTTGGGACAAGTTTCATAATTCTCTGGGGCACTCAGCATATTCCAGCATTTTAAATCAATGCCAACTCCTTATAAATACAGTGTTTCATTGACAGCTGTTACACGTGACAACACGAAGAGAAGCCAAGCAAGAAGTAACATTACATGTTAAATCCTCAATGTTGCTATATGTAGAGAGGTCAACAAAGGAGCACAAGTGCTGAGAAAAGGTACTAGGTCGTGCCTGTAATGGGAAAGGTTTTTGCTACAGTGAGTAAGGGCTTTCCATTTAAATTAATGGGAGTCTTTTCACTAACTTGAGTGAGCTTTAGGTCAAGGCCTCTAGATGATAATAAAGAGAAAATATACCTTTAAGTAGCTGTGATAGTCTCATGTTCTTACTTTTACCATGTTTAATGTGTCCCTTTCCCATTACTAAAGCAGAGAGAGAGCGTGTAAGCAACCAGCTGGCTCCAGGTCCCTGGAGGGACGAGGAGAGGTCTTTATGAGTGGCTAGAGCTGGGATCCAGCAGCCTAAAGTCCTGTGACAATGGACCTTGGGCAGAGGGGCCAGCCACAGCAAAGTGGGCCAAGGCCAGAGGGCTGACAAGGATCTAGGTCCTGAAGTGAAATTCCTTGGCCTCTAGGGACAGCCTCCCAATCCAACTGTAACGTTAAGGCATGGCAGGTGAAACAACAGGGCGATACCCTGACAGACAGGGCCAAGAGTAAGGTGGGATCCAAGCAGTCGCAAGGGGGTGACTCTGCTGTCCCAGGGCCTAACCTGCTACATGTGAAGTTTTAGTACTGTGTTATAACACTACAACATCAGGTCCAGAAGCACCAGCTAAGAATTCAAACTGTCCTTAGTACATTCAGACAACCCTTAAAGAAAAAATATCAAAGCAAGTATAAGGAAATTAATGTTATAATAAAAAATACACTGAATTATAAAACACCTCTGAAGAACAAGAACTTATATACTTATGAGAAGAATGAGGAAAAGAGAATAAGGTAGCAACAAAATGCTTGGTAATAAAAATGCAGAGTTGTTTTGAACACTCATCATGATTCAAGAAGCAGGTACCTGTGCAAGAGGCTTATTCTCATTCAGCTGCTCATGTTCAAAAAATCTGTCTAGTCCTTGCTCTTTGACAATCTTCTCTGACTCATCAGAAAAGAGAACAGCGTCCCCATCAAATGCCACCCGCAGCTGGTTATCACAGAAGGGCACATCTTTATTTGCAGAGAACATTGTAGCTGACGCAATGCCTGAAATTACATCAGAAAATTTCAGTTAGTTTCTAGGAAAATGAATGTCAATAACTATGGTTAACTAAGTACTAAAAATCAATGTTTGTATTATTATTTTAAACTCTTCTTTCTCCTGTTGGAGCACAGGTGGCATTTGGTGTTGGTTATTTTTTGCAGGCATCACAGAATAAATGAATCTTAAAGGAAATAAGAAGCTTGGCATAGTGGTCTTGGGAGGTCATTCTATGGATAGGGACAGCATAAAAGAAAATTAGTTGGTGGGAATAAGAGATAAAGGAAGATGACTAGGAGTGAAGGGGGCAAGGAGGGAGACAATAAGATACAAAATGTGAGTGGAAGAATAATCATAACTAAACCAGTGACAAGCTGGTATCTTATGGATAGTAATACATCTATTTTTAATTCAGTGCTACCACCTTCTGTGAAAAGGTATGTGTAATTAATGAATTAATTTTTCAGTAGGGCTAGCTGAGAAGTAAACCAGGAAAAAATTGATTCCAACCTGCTTCTATGGCTTCCTGAACTTTTTCAGAGTCAGCAGAAAGATATAAGTTGGTAAGATACGCTTTCAGGTAACCAACAGGGCTTTTTCCACCAGTCATGCAGAAACGTTCAATTGTTAAACCTGAAAATAAAGTAAACAAAACAGATATAGAGGGGACAAATGCATATGGTGACATGATACAACCCTGCTGGGTTTTTGTCCTTACACACACATGCATGGTTACTATGTGACCTAACATTTAGGGAATGTAACACAGACACTCATACACACACACGGTTACTATGTGAACTGACTACCATTTAGGGAATGTAAAGAACATTTATGGAAAGCCATGCTGTTGTGGCAGTCTCCTACTGAATAAAGGCTGGGATGAACTATTTCTTCTTGAATCCTTTAAAATATAGGATTGGCTGGAAGAACTATATGAGGTTATAGTCTATTATAGTATGGCAACTCTTATATTATCATGTTAGACAAAATGAACTTAAAAGGTGTGTGTCATTAGAAAGACAGAGTGGGCAAGACAGAGCTAGCCTAAGGGGTGGGCATTGTTGGTAATTGCCCATGGTGCCGTGGTTCGGGGAGACACCACACACACACCCCTGCTCTACTGCTCGTGCCAGGTGAGAGCTGTTGGGACACTTTGGTGGCAACTATTTTGGGGGCTGGGCAGCGGGACTTGTCCCCAACACCCAGACCATGCCCACAGCTGATTGGAGCCAGCTGCCTAGAGGCAGTGAGATAAAAAGATTTCAGGTGGTGGTAGCAGGCAGTGCCAGGCAGCATGAAGGCCTGGGAGGAGGGCACCAAGGGCAAGGCACCAATGCCAAGTGAGTAGGTGGTGCGGCTGGGCAACCCCAGCCTGCACATTAAGGACTGCTATCACTAACCTGCTGGAGCTGAAGGCCGAGTTGCAGTGTCCCCGGCCACTGTCACCACTGCTGAGGGTGAAGGAGCAGGGGGAGCTGGGCAGTGGTGCCCTGCAGCTGGTGCTGGGCTACTCGTGCAGATAGTCCTGCTCACCTGCCTGCCCTTCCTGCTGCCCCCTGCCAAGCCCCCACTGCCTGGCACCAGGCCAGCATCTCTGATGAACGGACACATGCGCTGCCTTGTGATAGCCCATAGGGTTCCCTGCCACCCATAGCTGCTGGCACCTATGTGACCCTCATGCATGCACACCCTCCTCTACACACACCCTGACACCCTCCTGGCCCCGACACTGCCATGACCTGGGGGCGGGGTACACTGGCAAAATACAAGTTCTCCCAGGGAGCCATTTTCCCTAAGGCCAGATCTGGGGCCAGATAACCAGCTGAGGATCTCCTCGATAGCCTTCTGTAGACTTCTGATTTTATGAGCTGACCATTCAATCAATGAAGTGACAGTATTTCAGTCCTATCAACAAAATCTTATCTTCTAGTCAACGCTAAACTTAAGGAATTTTTCCATTTGCTTAGGGGATAAAATACAAAACAAAGAAATGTTCAAGGGCCTTGCCACAGAATCTGAGATTCACTCTTGACAAGGAATATCTGGAGCTGTGGATCAGTCCTGCATAACACACTCTCATGTATACCGATACACACAAATAAACATTTCCCCCCTTAGGAATAGGTGTCAGTATCAAAGAAAGTGCCTTATATCAGGGTCAGAGCAAACAAAAAATGTTTCACTTTACACCAGGGCAGCAGGCAGCTCTACAAAATGTTATTTATTTTACTTACCATAGTGATTGATGCTGTTTATGAGTCTCACTCCCACTTGGGCATGGTTATTAGTCATCAGAACAATATCAAATAGTTCCTCATCATCAGGGTACAGCTCACGAAGTCGAGCATTGACATGTTCCAGTGCCTATGGGTAGGAAATATGGATGTGCATAAATAAGCTGCATATACGTTCTTTCTTAATCAGGGTGGTTTTATTTATACTTACAGGTCCTGCCTAGAAGGAGAATACGGGTTTAAAATGCATACAGGTTTACCTTGCTAAACTTGTTTTATTCATTCCTTTTCTTGAACTCCCAGCTGCTACTTAGTTGAGCTTCTTATCGGGGAAGCAGACAAAAAAATGTTAAGTTAAATTCTGTAACTTTAAAATGAGGTTCTCTTACCTGGGACACCTATGATCAGTTAGACTAAATGAACAAAGAGAGGGGGTTAGTCTTGTAAGTCTAAAGGCATGCAGAAGGCAGGGCAAGGTGGCACATTAGAGAATAACTGGCTGAGAGAGACATAAGCTTTCATACGCAAGAGACCAAATGAGTAGATTATCACAGACTTTCTTATGCCACTCTAAACCAGTTACTGGATAAGGTGCTACCCTGCCCTGGCTTCAGCTAATAAATGAACAAGTTACTGATCCATCTCTACAGGACTTGTCTAGTAGCAACTAACATGCCACTATCTTCTCTCTCTTTCTTCCAGGCTAAAGTGACTAGGCACAGGCACAGTTGCCTGTTTTAGATGCTCAGATGCTTTCAGAGGGGGACTAGTGGGTTCTCCAGAGTGCATGCTATTTCATCTTGCAGAATCGCACAGCTCTCCCATTCAGTTCTATGAACAGCACCTACGACACCACTGGGACGGTTCCTCTGTTGCCAGAAAAAGTGCAATCCTACATTCATTTCAATGGGGAGTTTTAATATGTGCTAAAATATGTTTACCTTTTGCAATTCTACTTCCTCCTAAGGCATCTATGACCCAATCTGCAAGACATCCACATGGAGAACTGATCTACCTAAGTGGTATAAAGTTCCTCCACTATAACTCCGTAATTAGAGCAATTATCCAGGACATGGGAGATCTGGGTTCTAGGCTTGCCTGGACGCCACGTTTTGAAGCCACAGCTCCTATGTCCCAATCACCAAACTACAGCTGAAACCACCTTCACCACATCCTACTGAAGCTGGCCCACTAGATGCCCAGGAGGGAAGAGTCATGAAGCCAAATGAACAAGCAAGAAGTCTGACTTTCTGTGTACTATTTGTGCATCTTAGACAATAATTATTTAATGCCAAATGTATAACTGAGACACTGCCATTACTTAAAACAGTTTAAGTAGTGGCACTGTTGTGGATTATATTTTAGTAACAGAGGGCAAATCTGGCCTAGTATCAATTCAAACGAAGGGACTCTAGCCTGCAGTGCACAGCATGATCTGAAAATAAGTTTATCACCAACTGTTGTATGGCAACTCCACCCTTCTGTGTCTGATAGTCCTGCACCAACATGTGCCATGGGAAAGTGTGATTTCAAGAGTTTTGACATAAGGGACAGTGAGCTAGAGACCCATTGGGAACATTGTATACATGTGGGCTTTATTCTTCTAAATGTAAAGTCAGATGTCTCAAGGTTCGCTACTAACAATCCACCATGATTTTTTTCCTCTTTTCAAACATAGATGCACACTTCTTCCTGTTAGGAATTCTAGATCATGTCTTCCAATAGGCCTGTCCTGACTGCAGGAGTACTATAACGGGAACTGTTTTCCAAACAATACAGTCACCCCTGCTGGGAAGGAGTTTCAAACAGGAGGAGGACCCTGTGAGGAAGTCTGTTCTCTACTCCCGATGCTGTTTATACCTGAAGGTTTTTTTGGGAGGGGGTTTCTCCATTGACAATGTAAACACAAGCACAAACAACACTGGAAGTGAAAGCTTGTTCCTCTCTGGCAGTATGTGTCAGAACCCATTGTTCATATGCCTATAGTACAGTGGAAGATTCCATAGTTTGATACAGAAGGCAGTCTGTCAATCATTTTGTAAGTAGGTCACGAGGGGAAAACTCCAGAGCCCAGTGACTATATGTTAATGACCTAGAAAAAGTTCCCGCCAAATTGTAGCTTTTTTGCACGGTGGAGTTTTCTGCTGCAGAGGAGAACCCCGGGTGCAAAAGAGTTCCCGCCAATTCGTAGCCTTTTTGCAGGGTGCATTTCTGAGCTGCAGAAAGGAAATGCACGTTGCAAGCAGTTCCCGCCAATCTTATGCAAATTTGTACCCCACTATTGGACAGTTCTAAATTATTCCTACGTGGCGGCTAGTGATTGGCTTGCTAGCCGTATAAGAGGCTTGAGCAGTTTCCACCCAAGTTGGAGAGCTCCACGCACACCTCGTGGAGAACTCTGAGCACACTGTGGAGCCTAGCAAACTCCGCGTGTGTCTTAGAGAAGAACTTAGGGGCCTGATCAACCTCTAATCTCTCCCCGTCACCGACCCAAGGGGGCCTAGCACACCCCCACCGAGACGTAAGATGACTGCCGGCCCGAACACCCCGAACGCATCTGCAGACCGACCAACAACTTTGTAATTTCTGCCCGACTCCTGTACCTGTTTGCAACTGTAACCGAAGCAAGCTTCTGACCTGCACTGTACGAGCAGTGTAAGTAAAGCAATCTATTTGTTAAATCAATACACTTGAGTACCTGATTCCACTCCAAGCGTCACAAGTACCCGCCCGCCGACTAGGGCTCTTAAAGCCCCGAACCCCGCGCCGCGGCTCTCGGCGGTGACAGTATGCACCTCCCTGACCACAGTTCTTGCTTGTTCTCCCTCTGGACTAGATACCGCTGTCATAGCTCAACAGAAAAAGGAAATAGCAGGTTCTGAGCATTACAAATGACCTGCTGAGATAATCAAAGTTGATGCATAAGGGAGACAAGCCCAAGGACCCGGGCTGAAAGGAAAAGTCAGCTGATTCCATCAAAAGAGAGGCAACAATGAGATGGTCAAGGGATGAGGACAAATAGATCAGGATGGGCAGGAGGCTCCACCTCCTATATGGCTGGGTGCTGTTAGTGTTGCCAGTATCTGTCCTCCCTGCTGCACATACAAAAGTTTGAACAACTATACCATGGCTGTTGTTTCCTTAGGACCCCATGCATGGCAAAAATGTTTTAGCTACTCACTGTTTTCCTGAGTCTATACAAATGACAGTGAAAGTTAAGAGTCTCTTTTAAATGCTCCTGGCAATGCAATGTCACATGTTCTTTCTACCAGCCAGCCTATTTAATAATAACAAAACCAACAGTTCTTCTCAAAAATTAGTTGGGTGGGTTTTATGCCACGGCAGTTTCCCAAGTAATTAAAATAGATATTTCAGATCAAATTGTCTCCTCTTTTGCACTTGCATCTTCCCAGTGAAGTCTGTGTTTCTTCAAACACTTATAAAAATCCCAATCAGCAAAATCATAATTTAGCCTCCACCATCCCGGCGGTTAACTTGCACATCTCTCTCATCTCACTCAACAAAAACATGGTAGATCTCCTCACCCTTGTTTATGGAATCCTGAATTAAAACCAGTCTATATCTCTTCCCAGTTTTCACTGCAGCAGGAAAATATTTGAGTTGCCACCAAAGGTTGGCAAAATTTGTGGGCAACCAAAACGAAAAAAAATATGTCTATACTAGGCAAGTAATTTTGCCTCTACTGAATCAACATCTGATGTCTTTATTCAGATGAACTCCCAACGAAGCAGTGGGCATTAAGCAGTTACAACCTTATGATTTGGGATCTGAATGATCCAAGAATGACACAATGACCTTAAAACAGTGATTCTCCACCAGGGAGCTCTGACACCCTGGGGTGCCTTAAGATCCTTTCAAGGGTGTTGTGAAGTGCTATGCAATGTTAGCACCACTAGGTGGGCAAACCTGATTCACAAGAACAAGGCAGAGATTTCAAATAGGAAGCTGTTGTGTCAAAATCCTTGTCTGGCTATGGGCTTGCAGCGTTCTCTGCAACAGAATTGCTCTAGTTACAGCGATGCCCAAAATTTTTGGCCAGCAGGCCAGATGGGTGGTGCCATGTCCCTCCACAGGCTAGATCCAGCCAATGGACCTGACCCAGCTGAGAGGGGTTGTACAGCCCTTGATCCATGGGCAAGGAGGAGTGGCTCAATCCAGACATGGGGAGCATGGGGTGGAGGGGAGGGCAGGGTAAAATGACCTTGATCCAGATGCTCAGGGCAGGACAAGGCAGAGTGGTGCTTGGTCCCAATCCTGATCTGGTTATGTGCTGGAGGGCAGGGTGGGGGGGATGTCCAGCCCAGATCCGGCAGCATGGGGAGGGGCCCCGTTGCAGATACATGCCAGGGTAGGAGTCCATTCCCGCTCTGGATGTGTGTGTGTAGGGCAGGGGAGGGGGCAGCCCAGTCCCGCTCTGGACACGCGGTGGCAGCCCCAATCTGGCCATGCTGGTGGGGAGGGGACGAGCAGCCCAGCCAGATCTGGACGTGGGCAATGGCGGGTGAGGATGGACTGGCCACATGGAGCTTCCACCACTACCTGCTGCCAAGCTTTCCAACCTGTGAGGGACCCAAGCAGGCCAGATGCTGTGGCTCCACGAGCCAGATTTGGCCAGAGGTTTAACACCCCTGCTCCTGTTTTTTTCTGTTGTGGAAAGACCAGTGAAAAGAGCGAGCCGTCATTTTCCTAGCGGGGCTTTTCCTTTCCCAAGGAGGGTTGCCTCCAGTCTAAAAAAGGCTGGAAACCACTGCCTTGCAGGAACCGATCCTCTCTCTGGGCCCCTCTAGACATTCAGGTAAAGGCATGATAGGATGTGATACATGACCCACACAACCGTATCTCCTGCCATGCCACGTGTGCAAGGCAGGAAGGCATGATCGTGGGATCCATCATCAGGTCCTATCGTGGTGCAGGGAAAACCTGGGATCACTATTCTGGGCTCCCCCTACACTGCCAAGTAGCAAGTTCCCACAGCTGCAAGTCCCATAGCTGACAGGACTCTTGGCCCCTACAGTGTCTCAGTTGCCAGGATGGAGAGTCTCATCAGCTGCAGGACCCTGTCCTGGCAGCTGTGGGGCGCTACCGGGGCTGAGAGTCCTCTCAGCCATGGGACTCCCTGCCCTGGCTGTGCAGGGTGCACCCCTGCAGCTGGGAGCCCCATTAGCTAACAGAGCAACCAGCTGTGGGGGGAGACCCTGCTACGTGTGCAAATTAAAGCTGGACAAAAACAAGCTAGAAAGTTACTGCATATTTTCCAGTTCTAACTTTATAGCTAGATGAACCTTTTCATAGTATGATTGCATGTCCAGCCAATTTAAATTCACTGCACAATTAACCAGTTAACTGCATAATGCATGTAACTTGTAGAGGGAGCCTGACCCATGACTCTGCTTACTGTATGTTAAAATTAAAGCTAGATAGAAAACAGCTATAGAGTTGTTACACATTTTCAAGCACTAACTTCATAGCTGGTTGGCTCTTTTTATAGCTGAAGAGTCATTTTTATTGTGTGATAATTACTTTGCACACGTGGCCAAGTACATTTACTGCATGATTCACCAGTTCATTGTGTGATCAGCACTACGCACTGGTCCTGCTTTGCTGGTCTTACTTTTGCACCCGAGGCCAGTCTAAACGTACTGCACAATTCACCAGTTCATTGTGTAATATATGTAACGGGTAGCAAGGGCCTGTCTCTATGCCCGTCCCATCTGGTCTGGAGCCAAACCGCAGCTTAACTTCCTTGAACAGGGCTACGCTGTATCTGCCGCCTGACCTCATTTCCCAGAAAGGGGTGGGGAACAAATCTAGTTGCTTTCAAGGAGGAAATGAAAGCAACGAGGCCAAGCCTCTTCTCCAGCACCAGCCCGCCTGAGGGGAGAAACGTCTGGACCAGGGCCTAAGGCAGGGATGCTGCTCCTACACAACAGGGTCTGGCAACCGGCCCATGAGATCTGAATGCCAACCCAGAGAGACTTTCCTTTTGGTGTCTGCAGGTGAAAAGGGGCTTTGCTGGAATCTCCTCATATGCCTTCCCTATGGACCCAGTACATCCAGATCTCCCAACACAGGCAGGGAAGCTGTCTCCCAGCCACTGCCCGGTGCTCAGGAGGGATCCCTGGTGGAGATGCCTGGGGCTCTGGAGGGATCCCCAGTCTCAGAAGGGGCACCAGGATCTAAGGAGGAATCCCTGGTCTCAGGAGGGATACCAGGATCTTGGAAGGCACCCCTGGGTGTCAGGCAGAATCCCCGGTCTCAGGAGGGGCACCAGGATCTAAGGAAGGATCCCTGGGTCTCTGGAGGGACCCCTCAGTGTCACGTGGGATCCCCGGTCTTGGGAGGGGCATCAGAATTTAAGGAGGAATCCCTCGATGTCAGGAGGGGACCCTTGGGTGTCAGGAGGGATGCCTGCTCTCAGGAGGGTCCCCTGGCTCTTGGGAGGGACCCCCCAGGATCTCAGGAGAGAGCCCTGGGTCTCAGGAGGGACCCCTGGGTGTTAAGAGACATCCCTGGGTGTCAGGAAGGCCCCCAGAGTCTCAGGAGGGCTCCCCGGTCTTGGGAGGGCTCCCTGGGTATCGGGAGAGACCCCCGGGTGTCAGGAGTGCTCCCGGGTGTCAGGAGGGCCCCCCGGGTGTTGGGAGAGGCCCCGGCCCCGGCCCTGGGGCGGACGGTACCTTGACGAAGTTGAAGGCGGGCCCGGGCTTGAGGGTGACGTTCTCGTTGTCCTGCTGGTAGGTCACGTAGCGCTCCACGCCCTGCTCCTCGTAGATGCGCCGCTCCTCCACCAGGTCGAAGAGCGCCCGCGACGACACGGCCACGGTGATGGCGTGCTGCGGCTTGGGCT